GATCACCCGGGACAGAGCACGCCGCACCATTACCCTTACTCAGTCACACATGGTGCAGCAGGTCCTTCAGCGCTTCGGCTTCACGTACTCCTCGCCTCAGGCCACTCCTCTGCCTACTCGCCACTCGCTCTCAGCTCTGCCTTTGGATGAGTCCGTAGAGTCGAGTGGCCCGTACCCAGAGCTTGTTGGCTGCCTCATGTACCTGATGACCTGCACACGACCTGACCTTGCATACCCTCTTAGCATTCTCGCACGCTATGTTGCTCATGGGAGACACCGACCAGAGCAAATGGCTGCAGCGAAGAGGGTGTTGCGCTACTTGTGCAGTACGTCGGGCATGGGGCTTGTGCTTGGAGGGCAGAGTCCAGTGGTCCTCACTGGGCACGCAGACGCTTCTTGGGCTGACGACCAGGCTACGCAGCGGTCGTCACAGGGTTACACCTTCTGCCTTGGTTCCGGCTCTGTTTCGTTGCGGGCTACTCGCTCGTCTTCTGTTCTCGGCTCTAGTTGTGAGGCTGAGATCTACACAGGAGCCATGGCTGCTCAGGAGCTTCGCTGGCTCACCTACCTGCTGACTGACCTCGGAGAGCCGCCTCGTTCTCCTCCAGTGCTGTACGTAGACAACAAGGCCATGCTGGCCTTGTGTCGGGAGCAGCGACTGGAGCACAGAACGAAGCACATTGCTCTCCGCTACTTTCTTGCTCGTGAGCTGCAGTAGCGTGGTCAGCTGCGTTTTGCGTACGTGGCCTCTGAGGCCAACACTGCTGATATCTTCACCAAGGCACTTGCGCCTTGTGATCATCAGCGCTTCTGTACTCAGCTGGGTCTTGTGCCTGCCTTGCCTCACTTGCTCACCCCTTGACCTTGTTTGTACTGTTACATATATATATACACCTGCTCTTGCTTGTCTAGCCTTTTATATATATATGTACTCCTGCATGTGAACTGGCCTTGTGGCCTTGAACTTGTGCTCGGAATGTGTGGTGACTTTGTGATCCACCCTGAGCTTGCTTTGCTTTGCTTGACTGGTCTTGTGACCCCTTGTTCTCCCCCACTTTGCCTATGGGGGTGTGTCAGAACATCATAGCTTATGCTTTTGTGTAGGCTATGGTGGGGTAGCCCATAAGGGGTACAACCCAATTAGGGTTAGTACTTGTACCCAACTCTTTCATAGTTCATCCTTTTCTCGTTCATTTTCGCAGACGTGACAGTACGGACAGACCATAAATCACTACAGTACCTTCGCGCACAGCCACACCTCAACCCACGACAGATTCGCTGGCTCGACTTTCTCGAGTCCAACTTTCACTACACGGTCACCTACAAAAAGGGAGCCTCGAACATCGCCGACGCACCCGCCCCACTGCCCAGATCCATGCAATACTACTCACCCAGACAAGCCCACTACTGACAGGCCTATTCACCCATGGGTACCAAACGGATCCATTCTTCACATGAGGAAATTCGCAGCAATTTGCAGCAGCAAAAGGAGACTATTACGTAAAAACTGGGACCGGCCGCATGTGGGTACCAGGGTACACACTGCTACGGGAATTACTATTACAGGAGGCACACGACGGAGTTACCTCGGGGCATTTCGGGGTAGAGAAAACACGGCAGCAGCTGCAGCGGTATTATTACTGGCCCGAAATGTTGACCGACGTACAACGACACGTGGCATCGTGTCCCACTTGCTAGCTCAGGAAATCATCACGGCAGCGGCTGGCAGGACAGTTGCAGCCGATACCACCCCCAGAGCGTGCTTGGCAGCAGGTGACGATGGACTTGGTCACGGGGTTACCGGCCGGGGCGAGTGGGAACGACGCGATCCTGGTCGTCGTCGATCGACTGACGAAAATGACACATTTCGCAACCTGCAAAAAATCGATAACAGCCGAAGAAACAGCTCGACTCTTCATCTCCACCGTCGTTTGACTACATGGGATACCATCACCGATCATCAACGACCGCAACACGAAATTCACCAGCAACTTCTGGCGTAACCTGTGGCAGCAGTTCGGCACGCGACTACAGTTCAGTTCTTCGTACCACCCCGAAACAGACGGACAGACAGAACGGACAAACCAGACTATGGAGCTACTCATCCGAGCCACGTGCGACGACCCAAGCACCTGGGAACAACAGCTGCCACTCATTGAATTCGCATACAACAACTCACCGTCCGCCACGACCCAACAGTCACCATTTTACCTGAACTATGGACAAGACTGTGAAAGTTAGAAGAGAGAAGGAGGGATGCACTAGCAAGAATGGGGATACAAATAGCAAACCCTAGAAGGGTTGTACTCGCTATAGAGCACCCCACTACAGGCTAGAGCATAAGATAACATTCTGACACACCCCCATAGCAAAAGTTGGGTGTAATCAGCAGAGCAAGTAAAGCAGTACAAGCTCAGGGTGGATCACAATGTCACCACACATTCTGAGCACAAGTTCAAGAAGCAATAGTTTAAAGTTCACAATTATGAGCAAAGCTAGTGGTAGTCACAACGGGCAAGTGAGGAGGAGGAGAGAGAGTGAGAGGAGAGGAGATAGGAGGCGACGGATGAAGCTGCAGACACACGGGCAACAAGAGGCACACTGGCACAGCGGCTACCGGAACAACGCTCCGGAATACTGGAGTAACTGGCCCCGCGGCTAAAGTAGCGGCAGACGAGCAACGGGCCCACGGGCGGCTGGCACAGCTGGCTACGACTGGGCTACTGGAGCAACTCCCCGGACTACAGGTGCTGCTGGCGACACGACGGCAACCTCCATTCAGCTTCCCCAAACTATCCCACTCCCCCCTGGCACACACCCGCTGCTACACCGCTAGCTCCACTCCCCCTTCACCCCCCCTTAGTACCACTCCACCGGCTCCAACACGTCCACCCCCCCTCAGCGACAGCTGCAGCACAGGGAGACGGAGGAGGAGGAGGAGGAGGAGCAGGGAACGGCACCCAGTGAGGTCACCCCCATACCCCTCACCCCCAAACCCTAATTCAGGAGAATGGGGAGTAGGAGGGGTGGGGCGCCATTAGAAGCACTGGGGGACAGCGGGGAGGGCAGGGGCAGCGAGGAACGGGACCACCACGGGCCTGGTACAGACGCCCGAGCCGCGCGCAGGCGGCCCGAGTCGCGCGCGGGACTGGCGCCGTCCGTACGGGCCGCGCACGGGGCTGACGCCGCCCGTACGGGTCGCACGCGGGCCTGGCGCAGCCCGTACGGGCCGCGCGCCGCCTGTACGGGCCGCGCGCAGGCCAAGACGGGTGAAGGGGGGCGACGCGCGGGTCCCCGTCGCCCGTCGCGACGCTCCAGAGGACGACGCGCCGAACGACGGGGCAGAAGCCCGCCGCGCGCCTCGGGGCGCACAACGGGCAGAGAGCCGCCGCGCGCCTCGGGGCGCACGGCGGGCAGAAAACCGCCGCGCGCCTCGGGGCGCACGGCGGGAAGAAAAACAGCCGCACGCCACGGGGCGTGCGGCACAGAGAGTAGCAGTAGTAGTTGCAGCGGAAGCAACGAGGTGGTAAGCCCACCCACAGGATCGATCCAAGGGGATCGACCTGCTCTGATAGCATGTGAAAGTTAGAAGAGAGAAGGAGGGATGCACTAGCAAGAATGGGGATACAAATAGCAAACCCTAGAAGGGTTGTACTCGCTATAGAGCACCCCACTACAGGCTAGAGCATAAGATAACATTCTGACAAATACCCGACAGTACGCATGACCCCGAATCCCGACAACCCAGTGCCACGAGCACAACAGTTCGCCGAAATATTACAAGCATCACGGACCCGGGCAGCAGACGCAATAAAAAAATCGAACATCATCGCTAAACGCAACGCCGACCGCCACCGCCGACCTGTCACTTACCAACCTGACGACCTAGTTTTACTCGACACTCAGAACCTCGGACTGCCCATCACCCCAAAACTCCGCCCCCGATATTGCGGGCCATTTCGCATAAGCCACATGATTACGCCCGTCACCGCCCACCTCCTCCTCCCCGCTGACTGGTACGTCAGCCCCTCATTCCACGTCAGCCTACTTCGCCCTTACGTCCCGTCCACGAGCCAACTGCCACGTAATCGCCTAGCCAGCATGATACGACCGCCGACTGAACCAATCATCATCCCCGAGAAAATTCTGAGCCACAGAGTTCGTGACCCTCGAGGAGCCCGAAGGATCGAGTTCCTGTTCCGCTGGAAAGACCGTACACCCATCGAAGACAACTGGGTTCCCCTGCACAGAATCGAAAACCACCCCGTCCTCACCGAATATCTGCGCAGCCGAAACTTCAAGGATGTACACGCGCTCTCGTAAGGTGGACCTCCTTAGGGGGGGGGTAGTGTAAGGAAAATTCCTTTTCCTTACTTCACGTCCCCGCTCAGCGCGTACACCACTGTCAGCACCGTTACGAGTCGCAACCCTCGCATCAACAATCCTCCCGCCACCTTCGCACGTCGCACCCCGACCTCACGGTTCGGCGGGTAACCCGCGCTCCGGGCCTCCGCTTCGACATTTTCCCCAACCTCAGTCCCAGGCCCGTCGCGCGACAACCACAGTCCATTACCGTTACCACTGTATTTTCGCTATATATTCTTCGCTCATGCCTTCGCTCATTGTACTTTTGCTTCGATAGTGCACTCCTTGCTCGCTCACTCAATTGCACTCGTAACAGCAAGCTCTTGATGAGGAGATAAAGTTGTGCAAGCTTATGATGAGCAGGTGAAAGTAAAAAGGGGGTTGGACTGATGAGTAGGAAGCACCAAAAGGACATGTAGGGCGTATATCCACCATAAGGACCATGTGGGAAAAAATCGCGTTCAGCAGGATTCGAACCTGCGAGGGCGTAGCCCAACAGATTTCAAGTCTGTCCCGTTAACCACTCCGGCATGAACGCACATCTGCGTCTGAACAGTAAATAATCCGACTTGTTTTATTTTGCAGTCGGTTCTCCTCTTGCTGTGCTTTCTGTACTCCATTGTACACAAGCCGCCATGTTGAGTCGACGGTTAGGAGCGCTGTTCGCGCAGGCGAAGGAGTCGACGGGCATCGTCGGCCTCGATGTTGTCCCCAACGCGCGTCAGGTGCTCATCGGCCTCTACAACCAAACCCTAAGCGCCGTTCAGGTGATTCCTCAGGAGGCCGTGTACAGGCAGAACGTGGAGGCGCTGACGCGGCAGCGGCTCGCGGTGTGCGAGGAGGAGCAGGAAGCGGAGCAGATCGAAGCGCGCGTGCAATGCGGACAGGTGGAGGAGCTGATCGAGCAAGCTAAGGACGAGCTAGAACTGATTCCTAAGATGGCTGGTGAGACTCTCGTCCTGTTAGCCAGTACGATTCCCGTCGTGCTGAGCAGTATTGGGTAGCAGGTCTCGATAGTAGGAGAAAGATTGCAGCGGTGCGTTACAACTCCGTGGATTCGCGATCTGCAAACTCGCCGCCGTCGCGAGTGAGTTCCATGTGTCGCGATCGTTGCATGAGGCGAGGGCGTAGGTTCAGAGAGGGTTGCCATCGAGTTAGATTGCTACGGTCGATTCGCGTGCGTCTGCGGTCCGCCCTGGTATCCCCACGGTGCTCGCAACTCGCAACCTCCTAAATGGAACTGTATTGCACGCTCTCAGTATCATGCCCAAGCTTGAGACGTCATTATTGTCTTCTACGTAGTACGGTAGTTCTGCGAGCTGTCATGGTGTCGCTTATGCCGGGACGCCTCAGGAGTTCCCTAGCGGGTACAGTGATACTATAGTACCGCGAGATGTCATGTGCTCTTCCCGAAGTGCTCCGGATTTTTCGAGGCCAAGGGCCCGTTGGCCTTAGACGAGCTCTGTAACTGTACAACGCTGGGTTGACGATCGGTAAGTAGGGTTTGTGTGTGAGGAGTAGGTGGACAGAGGGCTAAGTTGTGCTTATACGTTCGGAGTAGGGGATTGTGGCCTGTGGCCACAGTTTGTTCCTGTGATGGGTCTTGGGCTGGCCAGTTGCTTCAGGCCTTTGGATCAGCTGATTCCATGGGTTCTCACGAGTGTGATTGTGCTTGTGTGTACTTTTGTTTGTGTGCATGTGTGGGTGTGTTGGGGGAGGGGGGGGGAGTGCATGCGTTGTGTGTGCGTGCGTGCGTGTGATGGGGTGTGTGGGAGTGGCGTGTCTTGCCCACAACGTTGGTGCTGTGTGTGGTTCTTCTCCCAACAAGCAGAGTGGAAGCCATGGGAGGTCCCAGAAGGCCACAAGATTGAGATTGAGGAAACATTTGGAGATGTCCCTTCTCATGTTCCGGACCACAGAAGCTGAGACCTTTTTAAATGTCATTTGTATGATTGCAAATCCTTTTTGTGAGCGTGACACTCATCTTGTGAATTTGAATGCAAGGTGTTTTACAATCAGTTGAAGCTGTTCAGTTTCCATACATCATGCTTCCCAAATGCTCAAATTGGAATCTTCTATTACACATATTTGGATTGTTTTACAGAGTTCGTTGTTTTTAGTTCAGTTTTTACTTGAGGAATCACGAACCCACACAATCGTTCTCAACTTACCCGAACCGGCGCTACAAATATCTCCGTTTTCGCCACCTTCGCTTCACCGACCAATTGCAGAAAAGCTCCGTCGAGCCAATCAACACGGCCCAGCTTCCGCCCCTCCAATCGCTCGGCAGGATCGATGCTAGAATTGTGCCGCAGGAGATTTGGGATTGCTGCTGGAGGACCCTTGGAGTTGTCGAACGAAATAAGCGTGGCGAAAGACGACAACTCGCATTTTTGACCCATTAGGCCGGAAGCGAAGTGCTTGTGGTGGTAACCACTTACGACGGATCATTGAGCTGATTGTTCATGCAAACCATTTCCCCTCCAGCAACGGTGGTGGGTTGTCAAAGCGTGTGACTTCGGGTTGCAACGATCCTCTGAATCCTATCAGGAGGCCTGAGTGAGTCTCGTGTTGGAGACTAGAGGAACGAATCTCAAAGCTTCCATTCGTCTGTCTCCGACCACACAAAGCTCGTGCACTCTAGGAGAATCGGTCGTGTCGTCAAAAGCCAGGTCTCCTGCCTCAAGCGCTGTCTCTACAAGTCATCATCAGCTTCCAGTACACAGTCGGAAAATCTAGCGTCATATTCATCTGTTCGAGGCGTCTACGGAAAAGACGTCGTCGCGTTTAGCGTGCATGATTTCCGGCGTAGTATCCGGCATTCCGTCTGGTGACGCATTCGTCATGAATGCTCAGGCGAGCATCGTCAGGCCGCCTGCGAGCACTTTCGCCGCGGCGCCACCTGGCAGCCTGGGATTCGTCCGAAGGGTTTCTACATTGGACACGTGTACTATCGGAAGGCGTGTTTTCGTCAAGGAGCTGACTCCAAGTTTCAAGGTAGGAAAAGTTGGATGATTCGCCTTTGCCGGTAGATGATGAATCTGATGTGATCAGCATCACCATAGCCATCCCCATCGATATCGTCGTTTCCGTCGCCATCGTCCTCACGATCATGGTAATCACTGATCGTCTACCTTCCAAGACATGCGTAACTTGAGATCGGATTGATGGTCTCGAACACCTCAAATGGCGTTGTCGTATTCATTGCCAATGTCATTGGCATCATCATTCCTTAGCATGCTAACAACACATCTCACGCATACCGTTTCCGTTTTCTGATCTACGTGTACACGTCATCCCTTTCAGGGCATGCGCGGCTCGAGATCGGATTCCACCTCTATCCCCCCAGCTTCGCCCCCGTGGTCATCCTGGCGACGTTCCTCCGTTGTAACAACACTCGCTTATAGCACACCCGTCCCTGCGTCACAAGTGAAGGTTGGAACCGGCTCACCTTCCCCTCTGGGCCCGTCTCTAGTGGAGAAGCGACCCAAGCTAGACGGTTACAGCAGGTTGCCTGCTCGAGGAACCGTCAACTTTGCTCTCTTCTCCAAGCATGCTACAGCCGTGACCCTCTGCCTGTAAGTTTCTAGTCAGGCTACAGCGGTGACTCTTTGCCTGCTCGAGGAACCGTCAACTTTGCACTTTTCTCTAGCCACGCTACAGCCGTGAGCCTCTGCCTCTAAGTCTTCAGTCGCGCTACAGCCGTGAATTCCTGCGTGTAGGCCATGTCAATCTTTACCCCAAGATGCCATTTCCATTCCACTATCACGCTGTCTCTGGACCCTCACAGATTCAATTCCGTATGAGATCAGGTACCAGATTAGGTCCTAGTAGGATTAATCGGTTCAGCTCCAGCCTCTCCTCCTTGCTACCCCCTCTCGTTCCCCTCACTCTTCTCCGCACAGGTTCCTGTCCGGTAAGCAGGGCTCGCCTCCTGATCTCGAGATTGCCCTGGATCCCAACAGCCAACGAACGGGCGACATCTGGCATGCTTCTGTGGAGGTGAGCAGTCCTGATGGGGTGACTTGTGAATGGCTGCCTTCTCTCCCTTCTGTCGCCTTATATCAAAACGGCCAAACATAGCTCTGAACTAAGTTAATACCCTTCTATTTCAGGTGTCATCGTTCAACCTTCCTTTTTTTCCCCCCCTGCCTCGTCTCCTCAGAACGTGCCTCTATGCGGTATGCTGTATGCTTATAAGGTGGACGGTCCAAAGGGGTGGGGAGAAGGCCACCGATTCGACCCTTCCCTATTGCTGATAGACCCCTACGCACCCCTCGTGGATGGGAGAAGGAAATTTGGGGATGGGAGCCAACGGATGGCTCAGATGTACGGCACTTTTGACTTTGAATCTGAGCCGTTCGATTGGGGAGAGGCGGAAGCCAAGAGAAAGCCTATTCCCGAGGTATGAAAGGGGAGGGTTTCGGGGAAAGGGTTTCGGGGTTAAGGTTTCGGGGTTGAGGTTTCGGTTTTCAGGTTTAGTCTGTCCCAGTATCTCCACTGCAGCGACTTTTGAGTCAACTCAAAAGTCACCTCCTTTCCAGGTTGAGTTTGCGCCTGTGTCTGCACTGCAGTGCGTGGGTGGGTTGGGGGTTGAGGAGCGAGCGAAAAAGAAGTGCTGTCTGTATTGGAGAAAGAAGCCTGTAAATCGCTGGGGAATGAGTGAGATGGAGTGAGATGGAGGGAGGGGGGATAGCTAGTGGCATGGGAAGCTAGTATTCCTGCTCAGTTATAGTGACTGTTGCCTCTATCCCTACTCCATGTTGTCCTCTCGTGTGCTCCTGTATGTTTGCAGAAAGACGTGATTATATACGAGATGAACGTGCGGGCATACACTGCAGATCCCTCTAGTGGGGTCGAGGAGGGGAGGACGAGGAAGCTACTCAGCTGTTGCGGATAAGGTAGGGTGTGCAAGTCAAAGGTGGAACCATTTAATTTTTTTGTTTCTGTAGGTGGTGGTAAGCGTTAGTGTGACATGCTGCTGCGTGCTATTGCGTTGCTTCCCATGTGAACGCGTTTATGGAATGACTGCATGTGCGACCCTGTGTGTGTGTTCCCATGACCCACCGTGTTTCTGTGTTACCACGTGGCATGCCTGCAGGTGCAGCACCTGGTGCAGCTGGGCGTGAGTGAGCGCAGTTGAGCTGATGTGCGCCTTCATTCATGTGCATGAATTTCAACCCATACAGTCCCTGCACTCCACCCGCTTGTCCATATCCCATGCGTGCAGGTGCAGCACCTCGTGCAGCTGGGCGTGAACGCGGTGGAGCTGCTGCCGCCAGGAGTTAACGTGCGTGCACATACACCCATATGTGGCCCGTGTTCGATGCATGCAGGTGCAGCACCTGGTGCAGCTGGGCGTGAACGCGGTGGAGCTGCTGCCCATCTTCGAGTACGATGAGATGGAGTTCCAGAGGCGCCCCAACCCCCGCGACCACATGGTATGGTGCTCTAGATTTCTCAGATAAGGTAGATGAGGTGGAAGGCAGTGGGATGAGGTGAAGTGAAGCCAATGAAGGCACTTGGGGGTGAACACGGTGGTTTTCCAGAGGCGCCCTAACCCCCGAGACCACATGGTATAGTGCTCTAGGTTTCTCAGATAAGGTAGATCTGGCGTGGAATGCAGTATGATGGGGTGAAGAAGGCAGCGGAGTGGCAGTGGTGGAGCTGCTGCCCATCTTTGAGTATGACGAGATGGAGTTGCAGAGGCGCCCCGCCCCAATTCCTGTGACCACATTGGAGCCCTGAAACCAGGAAGAGCTTGGAGTGAAAGGAGATGGTGAAGCAGCTGCATGCCATGTCGTCACATCTACTTCTAACCACCTTCTACCGCTTTCAACCCTTCCCTGCCACAATTCCTCCCCCACAGGTGAACACGTGGGGGTACTCCACGGTCAACTTCTTTGCCCCATGTCCCGCTTCGCCTCCAATGCTGGTGGCCCCGTGGCAGCAGCGCGGGAGGTGAAGGAGATGGTGAAGAAGCTGCATGCAGTGGCATCACATGTACATCTAACCACCTTCAACCCGTTTCCCTGCCACATTCCCACACCACCAACAGGTGAACACGTGGGGGTACTCCTCGGTCAACTTCTTTGCCCCCATGTCCCGCTTCGCCTCTAACACTGGTGGCCCTGTGGCAGCAGCACGAGAGGTGAAGGAGATGGTGAAGAAGCTGCATGCAGTGGCATCACATGTACATCTAACCACCTTCAACCCGTTTCCCTGCCACATTCCCACACCACCAACAGGTGAACACGTGGGGGTACTCCTCGGTCAACTTCTTTGCCCCCATGTCCCGCTTCGCCTCTAACACTGGTGGCCCCGTGGCAGCAGCACGAGAGGTGAAGGAGATGGTGAAGAAGCTGCATGCCATGTCGTCACATGAACCTCTAACCAGATTCAACCGCCTTCAACCCCTCTCTCCCTCTTCCACAGGTGAACACGTGGGGCTACTGTCAACTTCTTCACCCCCATGTCTCACTTCGCCTCCAACGCTGGGGACCACAGTACCACCTTCAACCGCCTTCAACTCCTCTCTGCTACGTTCCTTGTTTCTCCCAACCCCCCAGGTGAACACGTGGGGCTACTCCACTGTCAACTTCTTCGCCCCCATGTCCCGCTTCGCCTCTAACGGCGGCGGTCCTGTAGCAGCAGCAAGGGAGGTGAAGGAGATGGTGAAAAAGCTGCATGCGGAGGGGGTGGAGGTGATTCTAGATGTGGTATACAACCACACCAACGAGGCTGACGACACCTTCCCGTATACCACCTCGTTCCGCGGCATCGACAACAAGGTACGAGACTCTGATGTTGTCTCCTTCCTATTGAGTAGCCTTCTGAGAGGCAGCAGCAGCAGCAGCAGCGAGGGAGGTGAAGGAGACGGTGAAAAAGCTGCATGGAGCAGGGGTGGAGGTGACTCTGGATGTGGTTTACAACCGCACCAACGAGGCTGACGACACCTTTCCATATACGACCTCCTTCCAGGGGATTGACAACAAGGTATGAGCCTGTGAGGCTGCTTCCCTCTAAGTGGCCCTGTGGTTAAGGGCACGGTAAAAAAGCTGCATGCAGCGGGGGTGAATCGGGTGCATGTGGCGGGGGTGGAGGTGTTACGGGATGTGGTTTACAACCGCACCAACGAGGCTGACGACACCTTTCCATGTACGACCTCTTTCCGGGGGATTGACAACAAGGTGTGCGCCTGGATGTAGTGGGTGCAGGTTGGGGATGAAGCTGTGCATGCGGGTGGGCAGTCAAACGAACAAGGTGGGAAGTAGGGGAAGAGCAGGGGCGAAGTGGTTGCATGCGGCGGGGGTGGAGGTGATACAGGATGTGGTTTACAACCACACCAACGAGGCTGATGGTACCTTCCCGTATACGACCTTGTTCCGGGGCATTGACAGCAAGGTGGGAAGGAAGCAGAACCAGATGGGTGAGGGTGAAGCAGAGTCCATTCATTGATTCGAGGTGACTTTTGATGAGTGGACTCCAAAACCCCGTCTGGGAAAAACAAGGGGCTGAAATTCCCTCCTCGTCCTTGGCTGCTACCTGTCCTTCATTCCCAAGCCAATGCCTCCCCACCTCCCATCCCCACTCCCCCTCCCCGCCCCTCTTTCCCAACCCCCGTCCCCACCTCTCCTCCCCTCCCCTCTTTCCCAACCCCCGTCCCACCTCTCCTCCCCGCCCCTCTTTCCTAACCCCCAGACATACTACATCGTTCAGCCGAACAGCTATGTGCAACTGGCGAATTATGCTGGGTGTGGTAACACGCTCAACTGTAACCACCCGGTGGTGATGCAGATGATCCTGGATAGCCTCCGGCACTGGGTGCAGGTGAGGCTGAGGGGAGGGGCGTACAGAGAGTACAAGAGGGGCCATGTCGGGTGGGAATGTGGGGAAGTAAGGCTGACAAGATACTGAGAGAGGAAGCAGTCAGGTGTGGTAACACGCTCAACTGTAACCACCCGGTGGTGATGCAGATGATCCTGGATAGCCACCGGCACTGGGTGCAGGTGAGGCGGGGGGATTGGGAGGGGTAGAGGGTGAGAAGGGGAGTAAAGCAGACGGGGAGATAAGGAGAGGTTGTGACAGAAAGGGGGAGATGGGAAGAGGGGGCACGCTCAACTGTAACCACCCGGTGGTGATGCAGATGATCCTGGATAGCCTCCGGCACTGGGTGCAGGATGAGATGGGGGAGAGGAGAAGGGGGAGGAGGCAGGGAGGGAGCACAGGTGCGATGTGATGTGATGTGATGTGATGTGATGTGATGTGATGTGATGTGATGTGATGTGATGTGATGTGAGAGGTGAGAGTGAGAGTGAGCCTACACTTCTTTTCCACGCACACCTAAGTACTACGTATGGATCGCTTGACCTTGCCAGTGCCCTTTGCACTGACTCCCTACCAATCATATCGTCTCCTCCGTCCCGTTCACTCCCGCCCTCTTCCATCAGGAGTACCACGTGGATGGGTTCCGCTTTGGACCTCGCCAGTGTCCTGTGCCGAGGGACCGAGGGAGAGCCCCTCAAAGGCCCCCCCCACTGCTCCTCAACCCTTTTCACCGCTGCTCACCGCTCTCTTCTTCTCCCCTTCGCACACCCCTCCCTCTCCCTCCAGGAGTACCACGTGGATGGGTTCCGCTTTGACCTCGCCAGTGTCCCTTGTGCCGAGGGACCGATGGAGAGCCCCTCACAGCGCCTCCTCTCATTCGGGTACGTGATTGGGATGGGTTTTGGACGAGTAGTTGGGGAGAGAAATTGGGGATAATGATTTCCTCTCTTACTCGACCTCCCCAGTGACTTGTGCCAAGGGCTGATGGAGAGCTCCTCAACAGCGCCTCCTCTCATTCGGGTACGTGATTGGGATGGGCATTGGATGAGTAGTTGGGGCGAGGGACTGCAGCAAGTGATCTCCTCACTTACTTGACCTCCCCAGTGACTTGTGCTGAGGGGTGATGGAGAGCTCCTCAAAGTGACTTTTGAGTCGACTCAAAAGTCACCTTGTGCTGAGGCTGATGGAGAGCTCCTCAAAGTGACTTTTGAGTCGACTCAAAAGTCACCTTGTGCTGAGGGGCTGATGGAGAGCTCCTCAAAGTGACTTTTGAGTCGACTCAAAAGTCACCTTGTGCTGAGAGGGCTGATGGAGAGCTCCTCAAAGTGACTTTTGAGTCGACTCAAAAGTCACCTTGTGCTGAGGCTGATGGAGAGCTCCTCAAAGTGCCTCCTTTCAATCGGGTAAGGGAATGGAGTGGGTGACTGGGGTCGGGTGAATGATTTGGGTGAGTGATTGGTCACATCCCTACCCCCCTCTCCTCTCATCCCGTCTTTCTTCACGCCCTACCACCTCTCAACCTCCCCCCCCCTCTTTCATAAGGCCATTGCCTTTGACAGACTAGGTGCTGTCAAAGTGCAAGCCCATCGCGGAGCCCTGAACTGTGGGGGACTCTAGGAGGTGACCATAGGTTTCGCCCCACCTCCCACTCCTCCCATCCCTCGACTCCCCCTTCCCCTCCTGTTCCCACACTTCCCCCCTCCCCTTCCCCATCAGGCCATTGCCAAGGACGAGGTGCTATCCAAGTGCAAGCTGATCGCAGAGCCGTGGGACTGTGGGGGACTCTACCAAGTGGGAAGCTTCCCAACTGGGACAGGTAAGACCTTCCTTGAATAGGACAGGTAGCCTTGCCCAACTGGACCAGGTAACGCCTTCCCCACTGGTAACGCCCTCACAAAACTGGACCAGGTAACGCCTTCCCCACTGGTAACGCCTTCACAAACTGGACCATGGTAACCGCCTTCCCCACTGGTAACGCCTTCACAAACTGACCAGGTAACGCCTTCCCCACTGGTAACGCCCTTACAAACTGGAACAGGTAACACCTTGCCTGTTGAGTCATATAGGAAAGGAAACTCATGACATGCTGCACTCATCAATGATCTATCATGGATGGTAACACCCTTCCTTTCACCTGTGCCATGCTGCCATCGCCCCATCCCCATGCCATGCCATGCTGCCATCACCATCATCGCCATGCATGCTGCCATCACCATCATCCCAGGTGGGCGGAGTGGAACGGCAAGTACCGAGACGACGTGCGCAAGTTCATCAAGGGTGATGAGGGCATGAAGGGGCCGTTGAGCTGTCATTGACTGTATGCCATGGATGATCATGTATGATACCACCCTTCCTTTTCCACTCATGCCATGCTGCCGTCGCCCCCCCCCCCTGCCATTTCATGCCGCCATCACCATCATCCCAGGTGGGCGGAGTGGAACGGCAAGTACCGAGACGACGTGCGCAAGTTCATCAAGGGCGATGAGGGCATGAAGGGGCCCTTGAGCTGTCATTGGTTGTATGTCATGGATGTCACACCCTTCCTTCTCCACCCATGCCATGCTTCCGTCGCCCCACCCCCCCTGCCATGCCATCCCCATCATCCCCATGCCGTGCTTCCATCACCTTCATCTCAGTGGGCGGAGTGGAACGGCAAGTATCGAGACGACGTGCGCAAATTCATTAAGGGCGATGAGGGCCATGAAGGGCCGTTTGCCACTCGACTGGCTGGATCCGCTGACATGTACCATGTGAGATGACACGTACCATGTGAGATGACTCGTACCATGTGAGATGACACGTTCTGTGTGAGATGACCTGTACCACGTGAGATGACATGTGCCATGTTAGATGACATGTACCATGTGAGATGACATGTACCATTTGAGATGACATGTGCCATGTGAGATGACATGTAACTTGTGAGATGACACGTACCATGTGAGATGACACGCACCATGTGAGATGACACGCACCATGTGAGATGACACGCACCATGTGAATGACACGTACCATGTGAGATGACGTGTACCATGTGAGATGACATGTGTTTGCCATGCCATTCCCTGTCATGGGATCAAAAATGGATATTTACCATATGTTACCATGCTTATCTCTGGCTGTTCATGTTGCTGTCATCTCTGTGGCCCGGGAGAACGAAGTCCTCATGCCTATCATATCCCTTGCATATCCCTCCCCTGCTCTCCGCGTAACCACGGGCAGGTCAATCAGCGCAAGCCCTACCACAGCATTAACTTTGTCATCGCTCACGACGGTTTCACACTCAGGGACCTCGTGTCTTACAACGTCAAGGTAAAAAACGCAACAAAAGAAAGGAAGTAGTGGCATTAGTAATTCTATTTCGTTCCCTCTTTCCCCTCTCCCCACCTTCCCCCCAGCCTTACTCACATCCCCTTACCCCCTGTTCGCACTCATCTCCTCTGCCCGTTCCCTTCCTTCCCCTACCTTTCCTGGTTTAGATGCCCCCAAAACTCTTCCAATCTCATCCTCTCTGCTTCCCTCATGTCCTTCCTCCCTCTTCCCCCCGCCCCCCCTCCCATTCCCCACCCCTTCCCTGTTCCCTTCCTTCTTTCCCACACCTCCCCCTCTGGCCCCTGACCCCATTCTCTCTCCCTCCCCGGCAGCACAACGAGGCGAATGGGGAGGAGGGGAGGGACGCAGCAATGACAACTTCAGCTGGAACTGCGGAGCGGAAGGTGAGTAGGCTGGAAGGGTGTGGGGGGGAGGGGGGGGGGGCGGGCTGGGTTTGGAGGGGAGGGGGGAAGGTGGAGAACTATTTGGAGGTGTGTGTGGGGGTGAAGAACTGCTTTTGACTCCCCAAAAACCTCTACAATGTGGACTAGTATTTTCTGCACTGAACTCTTTGTGACATGCGTGACACTTTCACCCAACTCCTCGTGCCACTTTTGAACCCCGCCAGGTGCCAAACAGGATGAGGGAATCATTGCGTTGAGAAACCGCCAAATGAGGAACTTCCACATCGCGCTGATGGTCTCCCAGGTGCGTGCGTGTGGGCACAAACACGCACGTCATAGGTGGGCGAGACAGATGAGGGGTTTGTTGCGTTGAGAAACCAACCGGCAGATGAGAAACTTCCACATCGCGCTGATGGTCTCCCAGGTGCGTCCAGATCTCCCAAGTGCGTGCATTTCTCCCAGGTGCGTGCATGTCTCCCAGGTGCATGCATGTCTCCCAGGTGCATGCATGTCTCCCAGGTGCATGCATGCGAGCACAAACATGCATGTCATAGGTGGGTGAGACAGAACGAGGGGGTGCATTGTGGCATTGGAGAGACCGGCAGAATGAGAAATTCCACATCGCACTGATGGTCTCCCAGGGCGTGCACTTGCATATACATGTGATGACTTTT